AGCTGTTGTGGTTTGTTTAGCAAAGATTCCAATAACAGAGGTGGTATATTCATCATCATCGTTTATAGTTAATTTCATTGCTATTCGCTGTATATGTTCTTGTAGATTTTGTGTCTGCTTCGAATCGACAAGCAAAATTATCATCTCCGGCATATTAAAAGTATTATAGAGCGCTTTTTCGTAATGCATCGTACATACTATCGTTGAACCATATGTGCATACAATGGTGTCGATTTCTTGAAACTTTGAAGAAATTTTCGTGCAAAGCGAAGCTGTGCATTGTATTTTCTTCAGATCATCATTAGTAAAATTATTCTGCACAATTCCTTTCTGCAGATGTGACCAATATAAGAAACCCGCTGCAAAACATACTGCGAATGACGATGGACACGGGAAGACCGTGTCAATTTTTAATTGAGTGGACAAAAAAATTTTGAAAGATTTAATACATATTTTCTCCTTTTCAGCAATGCACATCAGTAAATAAAAGAAAGCCTCTAAAATTATTTTCTGATAATATGTGCAGCTGAAAATTTTTTTTATATATTGTGAAACTTGCTCGTGCCATGTCTCTCTCTTGTCTTTATTCAATATGCAAGTATTGTAAATATCTAGAAATTCCGTTAAAGGATTGTCAAAATATAAATCTATTTGAGGAAACTTTATAACGATCTTGTTAACGTCATCTGATTCGGTAAATGATATCGTTGTACGTAATTCTATACCAGCTGCTACACCACTAAAACGATATGGCAATGTGTGTTCTCCAAATAAACTTATCTTGTTTGGTACGGATAATTTAAATTTAATCATTTTGCAAATTTTTATTATCTAAAATTCCTTTAATAGCAGTAAAAATATCTGTCTCTCTAATTTATATAAATAAAATTAATTATAAATTTATAAAAATTTACTGGAGATTTCACAAAATTTCCACGTAATTCAATATTTAAATATTCGTTTCCAATTGTTCTAGTATTTGTAATTGCAACAAATGGAATCACATTTTTTTTTATAATTTTTCCTTCTGCAATCTTAAATTAAATATTTATAATTATTGCAATTTTATATCGGATTTATTGATAATTTCAGTAATATTTAAGGATATTATTATGTGCTTTGATACGCATAAAATGATTTATTACTTTGTTACTTACTTGATAAGGTCAATAATAGTAGCGTGAAAGAAATTTTGTTAAAACTTAGAGTAGATTAAGAGAGAAATTTAAGTGTGTCTTATCGTGACATTAGATACTCGTCTATTATTTTCTGTAATATTCGAGCGATCAGGTATTTCTCTAAAGTTTCTAAAGGACAGTTAAAAGAGAAAAATAACAACATTTGGTTCGTACAATGTGTATTTATCAATTTATTTATTCTTGATATTCTTAAATTATCTATATACATCGAGTATCTATATACATCAATAAAAATAGATACTTTTTTACCATTTCTATTAAATTGATGTTTCAATATATGAGTGAATTTGTCGATATACTAAACTAAATACTAAACTTCTAAATTTTGTTGTGAAGAAGTCTTCGATAAGTTTTAAATTAAGAATTTCCGCCTTCAGCATAAAGATTAAATTTTTTTTTTAAACGCTTATATTCGGAGTCGGATCATAAAAAGTTAATTCTTGCTTATAACATGTAATATATAAAATATTCCTTATTTTATTTGTCAGTATCAATTATATGAATTATATTACATCAATTAATTTCCGCATTTCCTACATTATCTATATTTGCAAATGATACAACACGTTAGATAAATGTTTTTCGGGAATTATGCTTGTATCACTCCGCTACAAGCTATAATTGTTTTCTTGACATCGAAATCCTTTCCTTCCAGTTCTTTTATGAGACTAGTAATGGTCATTTCTGGTGGATACTTCTGGTGGATACCATAAATATGCATATTTATCTACATCACTGTTGATATATTTTCCATGTACTCCGTATTTTTTTTCTATTAAAAAAATTTCGTCCGAATGGAAATGCGTGGGTGTTAATCTATTTAATAATTGAAAAATATAACCCTGTGAAAAATAAAATTAACTTAGATCTCAAACATTTTGATTATACTTGGATCTTAAACATTTTAATTACGTTATATTACTTCTAAACGATTTTTCCACAAGGCATTTATTTTTGTAACTGTGCACACTGTTTTATTGAGACGGTTTCAAATATGGGTCATGTCTTTTTATCTCTCGCTCTTATTTAAGTTGTCGTATAGGATGATTCAATAAAAATGGATCATTTCAGGAGAATTCTGTTTGAACACTGTTTTACAGTGTACAACATCATTTGTTTCATATAAATCTATTTATTGGATTTATAGAAAATTAAAAAGTATTTCTTACAACATTTCACAAATCTTTTATAGTTTTATAATTAATTCTAAAATTTGTGTTAATATTTTTTTAAATAAAAATTATTTATTTTGTTATTGTTATAATAAATATACAATAAAATCGCTTTAAAAGTAAGAAGAAATGTCAAATAAAAAATGTACTTTTTGTCTATGATAGAGTAGTTCTTGACATTAATATGGAGTTTAGAATTTGGATACGTACAGCTTACGCTTGTAACTGGCTATGTTTGTCATTTACGCTCAATAAAAACGCGCGTGCGCCCTGCATTGGTCCGGTATATCCTCAGATATCAGAATCGCACAGGGCTAGTGCTCAATGGTAAGAGTGAATTTTCTTATCACGGTCATATTCCTCTTGATTGTGCTCGTACAATGTGATCCGTGACTCTCGGAAAATGGACGAATTTACTTGAACATCTTCAACTAATATTATGTGAGATTAGTGATTAATACGAAGGCAAAAAGCGGAAACACACAGTCGAGAAGACAGGGAAGAAAACAGAATGAGAGAGTGACTGGAGATTTAACATTATCTCATTACTTTTGAAGGTTTTATATTTATTCGTTTGGTTTTATTATATATTTTCGTTTTAAATATTTTATTTGAGACAATATTCTTTTTTCTCAATATGTTTATATATATTTTTTTTATTTATATCTTATCTTGTATTTATTTATGTAAATTTAGATACACTCAAATACACATTTTAAAATATATAATAATATATATTATTTAATACATTGCTGGTTTTTAAATATAATTTTTATTATAGAAACTTGTTGCATGTTTATCATTGTGTATTTAGGAACAAATTTTATTTTGTTTAAAAATTGAAAGATTCATATTTTGTTGGAAGCAATTTGCATGACAATTTCCAAAATAGATATTAGCGATTATAATAATGACTGTTTTTAATAACAATTGTTCAAGTTATTGTTTTGTAATATTTTATATTTGTTTTGAATTGGAAATTGTTTCTTATATACTTCTTCATTAAATTATTTATACACGATATTAGAAAAATGTGTGCAATATATTCAATATAGTAATTCATGTTCTTGTCAATATTCTTTCTTGTATTTTCGTAAATCGAAGGATTTTAAATTAATTTTGTTAATTTATGATGAATTTGCAGATGCGAGCATTGGATACAATTATGAATTCAACTTGCGCTTATTGTACACTTGAACCACCCCCTGACATCCTTCACATACCCCCGCCACCATTCCCGGCTATTCTCCAGCAAGGTTCCGATTTTTATCCGAGCTCTGACATTCTGCCATTCCCTCCGCATTTAAATGACAGTCCCTGCAAACATTTCTGCGACCGGCGTTCCGAAGGGGTGCAATATATAGAAATGCCTCAACAAGGTTGGTGAAGAAGTTATTTATATGAGAAGATATGAGACTTATACAATTCAGTACATTTAATTTTTGTTAAATAGTTAATCGAATTAGATAAATTATCTTATATGTTGATTAAACTAAATTTGAACTTTTAGGGACCGTTTTTGATGATACATGGCTTTTGATCTTAATATCGTCATGCATCGGTGTCATTTTCATCGGTATAGTGCTCGCGACGTTGTTCTTAAAGTGTAAATTGTAAGTAAGGAAACTGATAAATTGATAAATGACAATGAAATGATATACCAGAAAATATAACAGAATCTAATAATTAAGTAGCAGATATAAATTATAATTTATTTTTAAAATGTGTAAAGACATTGAAGATAAATATTGTTTATAAGTCTTATAACATTGATAAAAAATTATAATTAAACAAATACTGGCAATGCGTTAGAATCAAATCGTGTTTTATTATTAAATTTATTTGCAATATATCGTAATAGAACAATGAATTTGATATCAAATTTGAAATAATCCTCTTAAGTTAAATCTCTTTGTTAAATCCTGGTATGTCATTCTTACTGGTATGAAATATAAAAGATGAAATACGAATATGATATAAAATTGACGAATATGATAGCAATAGGAATGGAAAAGGTGGGGTGATCTCCATGCCGAATACAGCTTCCGGGATGCAGACGAAAAACGGTAGGCTCCAAAACGAGGCGGTGCTCTACCCTTGCGCGGCGGACACTATGCAGGACAGTCGCGTCATGTGGGCCACCCTTACCCCACGTGGGACCACGAGGCACTATTTGGAGGAGCATACGTACGAAACTATCGGGGGTGGGCAGTTTCACAAACGTGCCTGTACGACCACACCAACCGAACATGTAAAACTCAAGGCAATCTAACAATACGTTTGTATAATATGACAATTATTTATTTTGTACGCAAAATGTTCTAGAGAAATTTCCCTAACAAGTTTTTTTCGTTTGTAAATAGATATTTATCATATCTTTTTAATTCTTTGAGCAATTTGAATTTATTTTTACTAGTAAAGACTTTTCATAAATTTTTAAGTACTTTCGAATTGAATATTCCTCTTATTAATCAGAAAAGTTAAATTGAATCTCAAAATCAAGCATAATTATGCGGAGAAGCATAAGATTTTATTTATTTGCATCTGCAAAACTTAATTTTTGAAAAAGTAATTCCCTTCGTTTTTAGTCGCTCAATATTTTCATTTCTAAATATAAAAGTCGATTCGAATTTATTTGCTAAATATTTAACTTAAGATAAATCGATTGATTTCATATTACATTATGCAAAATACGTGTAAATATAAATCAATGATTTTTTTAGACGTATGCTGACCCACCAGCTATCACTCCTGTGCAAAATCGTCCAAAGGATGACAAAGCTTTTGATAACACCGCGTTTGTAGATTATGAAGAACCTTTGTCCATCAAGACTGAATATTATCAACTCAACGATGTTCTGGAGCCGAATGAGTCTGGTAATAATCAGTCTTAATCGATGCCTTTCAATTTACTTATATCTTTGAATGTATGTCATAGATATCACTTTGTTAATCCGTATCACATTAATAAACAATAAACTTGTATAATTTAATATAAATTATAAAATATACTTAAATATATAATATATAAATATTTATTTTAATATATTTATTTAAATATTATTTAAATAGCTAAAATATTTATTTAAAAGGGATAAAAGGAATATATAAATTCAGCTCACTGCATGTTAAATATAGTAATAGCGTAGTATCATAGATCTCGTGTGATTTTTAGGGATACTTACGATTCCAAGAGGAACGCTTCGTCCGCGTGTGAGTTCCCCGACAAGAATCGAACATCCGAATTTACCCCCGTTGAATCTTCACCCTCATAAACGGGCATCTCGCAAGGGTTCCGGCACGCAACACACCTCGGACACGTTGCTGAGGAGCAGCATCACATCGTCAACTTACATACCCACCATATAAAACGTATCCGCGTCCTTTCCTTTCGTTACATTCTCCTTCAGGGTACCGCCCAAGTTACGCCCGTGCACCTTTTACATCCTCGTTAATATCATCGTATATCTAGTCGTTATAAGCACACGCCGCCCGTGTTAAGCCAAGTAAACGATATAATCGTGCGAAATAATTCTTTTTTATCGATTGATATGACGTGATTGTGATTGTGTAGAACAGTAGGTGTAGACTTAATAGAGTAAATAATGTACGTTACATTTGCATCTTAAATAAAACAATGCAATATAGCAAAAGAAAGGGTCTTTTCAATCTATTCCTATTCTGTCCGTGCGACTTGGCCTGTTTTATTTCTTAACGTATATATACATAATAAATCGATCTACGAAAATAAAAAGAACGTCGTCATTTCGTTCATCTCGTGAATTTTTATTCATCTTTGTGAAATTTTGATTTTTTTTTTATACGACGAATTCGTCGACTTAAAAAAGGCGAATAGGTGTTTGGTTCCTCGCTTTGCGAGGAATGTCGATATGTTGAAAGGGGGAAAAGAGTGTCTCGTGTACAGTTTCAATACTTTATTCATATAATTTCGTAGTTATGGCATTATTCCTATGTATTTACAATGTCCCCAATCTCAGGAGAATTTTTTGTAATGCGTCAGTGCGCGCGCACTACGGTACTGACACTGCGTGTGTATGTGTATATGCGAGTGTGCCTGCGTACCTCTCTCTTCCTTTTTGCAAGATCAACGTGAAAATGCATCTTTGAAGCTGATAGAAACACTATTTCAATATTTAATCTCATAATTCAGTTCAGCTCCTCACTTTTTCTCGCGTCGTGCGGGAGTCTCATAACAACAACGAATGCACTGCGCGAATTAACCACTACCGATCGCTATAAAGTTGCGTAAATATAAAAAAATAGTCGTTTCATTCAGCTCCGTTTATCTTCGCAACTGCAAACCAATGGTTATCGAATGGGCGAAATAATAATCAGTCTCTCGCGAGGCGCAGCTTAGGATATACACCGCTTAAGAATGCGAACGCTAACGAAACAGGACCCCTCTTGCCTTGACGTGTAAAAAATCTAACTGCACCACATGCGCCTATCCCGTATATTTAACGTTTTATCTATACTTCACGTAACCTGGAACAAAACGGCCGATTTCGATCCCGCCATGGAGGATTATGTTGGCGCAATGGGGCCTACCGCGAAGACACCGAAAACATGTTGTAAGATGCCAGTTTACTGGGACAAAATGTGCCGGAGGAATCCCTTCAAAAATAAATCGCAACGGACAACAAGAAATTGGATTTCGAAACCGGCCCAATTCCCGGTGACTTTAATTCTCGACGTCACAGATCGAAAGGACCTCGCGTTTCGTCCACCGGCAAACGAAGCTCGTCATCGTCGCGTCGTCGTCACGCACTCGGATCTCCGTACTCGCTGAAATTGTATCCGGTGAAATGAATTTTCAGTGCTCGTTTAATCGTCTTCGGATAACGCACCCTTCAACCCCTCGTTCTTTTTTTTTTTTTTCTTATTTCTCGCAGCCCCGATTTGCACAACACAATCCGCTCGACGGCGGATTTCTCTCGATCGGAATCAGCCACTTGCGTGTGTACACACATCTTCTACTATACATACACGTGTCGTAGAAATTCGCAGCCAACCGACAACAAAAGTGTGTCCGTTCTCGTGTGGAACTTCGCAGGATTCATTCTCTTGTGCTACAACGCTAATCTCTCTTAGCTTGCTCTCCCTCCATTTTCGCCCCTCCGTCTCGCCCATGAACGTAGTTTACTATCTAATTATAGTGCATTCATATACGTACGACTGTACAATGTAAAATATAATTCCATCTAACTATAGCAACTTTAGATACAGCTGTGAGTGAGCGTCTCGTCTCTTATCTTATTTTTTTTTTTTTTTCACCTTGTTTCAGGCATTATCGGGTTGTGTGTCCGTTAAACAGCGATGACACTTCGGTAACTTTATCATATCGAAATATGCACTTCTGCAGCGATCTCTACGTTTACTTAAAAAAATGTTCCAACAATTTGTTTAATAATTATTTACATCCAAAGCCTTACTCTCATTCGCGTCTTCTTCAAAACTATATTTAAATTCCTTGGAATAGCAAACAATTTTAGTTTACATCTAGTGTGACAAAAGCAATTAGTAAAGTATCTTTTTGCTAAAATGAGAATAATTCTTTGGAATTTTATAGTAGTACAATTTCACATTTCACATAACAATTTGTTGCAACATTTAATGTGTAAAGAGAGTTTTGAAATGCATATTCCTTTCGTTAAATGAAGACTATAGCAAAGTTAAGGTTACAAAATTCGCGATTTTCTGATATCTTTGTTTCCTTTTCTTATTTGCAATCGTAAAAGTTGCCGTCCTACGGATAATCGATAGTTCAAGTGAAGCGTTCGCTAGAGCCGTCAATATTCGAGCAATTTGTCATATAAATATTTTCATAATTTCAATATTAATGTCAAGATTATAAAATGTACTATTGTGTGTGAGACATAATATCACTACAGATAATTAAATACTAATAAGTAAAAAATTATGTAAATGAAAATATAGTAATAATTTCCTGACTATTATATCAAATTTGTTTTTCTTCGTTGCTACCGTTAATAATTATTTTTAATAAAACAAATTATGTTGTAATTTCCTAATTTAATAGACACTCTTATCTTTGATTTTATTCTGCACTCGTTATATTTCTCATTTAAACTTATAAATTCGCTTGTTCGTTCTTTGTATTTCGAAAAATATTACTCTATTTATCTTTCCTATTTCGCTTTGTGAAGTTTCAGCGAATGCTAAATCTTAGAAGCTCCTCTTTTGGTTCGCGATCTTCAGCATCGCGTGCACGATTTTTCTAAAGCGTATAAAACTATTTCGTGCATTCTTCCGCTTTGTGCGATTCTTGTACGTTCACTCACGGAATCGCGCAGACGAAGAGAGTGAATATGGAAATATACTATTGTTATATTCAATTAAGAATAAATAATTGGAGTGTACGCTTAATATATATCCAATCACGAACGAATCCGACTGCTCTAGCGCATATACGCGACACACCTTTAAGTTCGACATAGTGTATAAGTTAATAGTTAGAGTAACACTGCTCACTAAATATATCTTTATAGAAGTTAATTTATAGTTTAGTATAAACGTTAGTCGTCAGTACATCGAAGGATATGCAGATAGAGAATTGGAGGGCAGTGGTAACAATATGCCTAGAGTTTCCTTTTGCAGATAGAGAGCGTTTTCCCTTTAGACAGAGAAAGAGAAAGCAGGAAAGAAGAAGGATCTTAATGGCGGCACCCTCTCGCGAAGGTGACTTCGCCATTGTTGACGCAGGATAGCAATAATAAGTAAATTTTCCTTTCGCGAGAAACGTCGGTCAAGATCAATCGATTATCAAGGGAAAGCGCACACGTGCGAGAATGAAAAAGTTTTCTTTTTACATGAAATTTTGTATCGTTCCTTTTGTATCGTTAAAACTGCCCACACACGCAAGGTTCGGCCACATAAATATATATACAAAATCCACACACCGATTTGCTTATCCATAGTCACTAAATAAGTTCGAGAGATGGGATAAGACCGGGGGGGAGGGGGAGGGGAGAGGTTATACGAGAGTGAACGATAGCAAATCTAGCGAAGACGAGAGAGAGAGAGAGAGATAAGATTTAGTGTGTCTTGTTAAGCGTAAAAACGATCCGTGCGAAATGCGAATTGCGATGATGCCGTGCGGCACTCTTTGCCTCAACAGTGAATCTGAATTTTTGTTTGCGATTGAAGATTAAAGAAGCTTTTTTTTTTTTAATTCGAAGCGTCAGCTTGCCAGATTTGTATTCGAAGCGCGTTTAGTCTCGCTGAATCTATCTTCGGTAATTTGCGTAATCTCGTTGGAGATTAACTTACTCGTCGGGCAGAGATACGGAACGATTTGAAAATTAGACCTACTTCAAGTCTGGATAATAAAATCCTTGATGGATCGTAAATCTGAAATCTCTTGAGATAAAGCAGAACAACCGCTGGCTAGAGAAGTATTCGATAGAGAGATCAAACTTTCGGAAAAAATTGCAATCGGCAAACATCTATCGTTCGCTAATAGTTAGTAATCGATTAATCCCAATTGTTAATTGTTCTTCCCTGAGGATTGTTACTTCAAGATACGTGCGTTGTCGACTTGTTAATCATGTCTGTTACTTCACGAGGAGAAACGGTGCGTAAACTATATAAATACAGAAAATGAGAGAGAGAGAGAGAGAGAGAGAGAGAGAGAGAGAGAGAGAGAGAGAGAGAGAGAGAGAGAGAGAGA